TATCAGAGAGAGGTAACTGTTTTCTTTTACTTCTCACTTTAAAGGACACATAATTAAACATCAGGGCTCAGATCTCATGCTTGAAGTCATTGGAGGGTTTTTTTCGGGTTCTTTTTGAGTTTTTAACCTCTTAAATTGGAAGCTCGCTTTTATGTCTCTATCTCATTATTGGGTTACAGAAGGCATACATAAACTATGATATCAAATGAATTAAATAGGATAAACTCTTTTGAGGAAATTCACATTTTACTAAAGCTCAAAAGCAGAAAAGGAGACGTCTGTTACATATGTCTTTCCCCTCTCCTCCTACAGGGCACAGAGGAGGTGGACAGCGCCCCTGGAGCCCCACAGGAGCGGAGCAGCGTGCTCGACAGCCATGCCTACATCGCTGAGGTCAAAGAGCTACAGAGGAGGTATAGAACGAGTCAGACTTTACCAGAATTAGTTTTTGAAAGTGGTAATATAATATCTGTTTCTGACTCCTCTTCACCAGGCTGGATGAGGAGACGCAGCAGCGAGTGGCTGCTGAGGAGCAGCTGATGGCTGAACAGGATCGACTCAGACTCAGGTACGAAATGTGATACAAGATGATGAAGAATAATGCTTTAAGCAATGTTTAATGTCTAAAGGAGATGAAATAACTATCTTGAACTTGAAGGGCATGTAGTCAAAACCAACTGCTATCTTTGTTTTCATGTTTCTAATTGTACAAACGCAGGTGTTTTTTATTTGTGAAACTGTGCTTGTGTATACTTTCTGTGAAATGTATCTGCATCTGTTATTTTTAGTGTTCACAAATGTGTAGAAGCAGCACAGTATGACAGCTAACATCTATTTTTGTTGTTGTTATTACCAGCCACAGCCAGTCTAAATGGCACTCTGCACATGAAGAGGAGACTGCTGTTTTCATCGAGCCGTCGGAAGGAGCTGTCACTCGAGTGAGGCTCCGCTAATGTCCCCTACCACCTCATTTGTCAACTTAATAACCGCACTTATAAAGACTAATGAGCTGAATGTCTGCTGTAACCTTGCCCTTCTTGTTCTCGCAGTCTCGGAGAGGTGGCCCGGGTTTAATGCGGATGCTCCGGGTGGCTTTCTGTTCCCGTCAGCGCACCCCTCTGCTGCTCGGCCTCTATCTGCTCACTGTGCACGTCCTGCTGCTGATGTGTCTGGGCGGGTACCTCTGAAACCAGCTCCCTTCACAGATATGAAGAATGGACACTGACCTTAGCCAAGCCAACCATATGTTTGACATTGTTACATGTACAAATCATAGAGGATACAAACATTGCACTTTACATGGCTTAATCTTTTAGCCAAAGTATGTAGATTTTTAAGAAATAGTCAATTAAATTAATCTGATTTGCTCTTTTAAGGCTTTGAGGGTATATTATAATATTTTCCAAAAACCCAGATAGACAGAACATGAAGGGACAAGGTTTGTTTTCTCTCTAAGAATTTAAAAGTAGATTCATAATCAAGTATTGAGGAAGATGGTGTTGTTTATGTGCCTTTATGGATTTGGATATAAAAGGGTCACTTTAGGCAAGGGAAAAAGGTGGGACATTTTATGGACTGTAGTTTACATGTCATGGAAATCGCTCATCGAGGCTTGACACAGTCAGAGGGGAAGTTCTGGCTCAGGTTACAAAATTGACTAAAAGTAACACTTAAGACCAGTTATCAAGAAATAGTATTTTACCCCTTTTTAATTTTGCTCGTAAACTAAAGGAAAAAACTAAAACACCGAGACGTTGTTTCACGGCGTTATGTATTATTCTGCGACAGACTATTTTGATTGTCAGCAGTTGCCAGGCAACCCTGCGGAAATCCTTAGAAGTAACCCGTCGAGGCTCAAAGTAGTCGGACTCTGGCACGCGAAGCGGACAATTGTCGTTTTTAAACACTTTGTTCTGTGAGATTTATTGAAGGAGACTTGACTAGTTGGAACAGGGCTTTTAGAGACGCTCATGACAAACCAGAGCCATGGTTGCTCTTTTACCAGTCGTCATAGTGAGCCAAACTAACTGATGAAGTTAGTTTCCACTTTGTGCAAAGCTAGCCGGCTATTTGTTGTCGCCTTTTATTTAGCGGACAGATGTTGAAGTGCCATCAGCTTTGTCATCTAATCCTTGCCAGAAAGCAATGAAGCAAACGTCCCAACATTTGGACTACTTTATTTAAATGGCTTTGAGGTTCAGGATGTGCTTTATAGTCCAGTCGTTTCCTCTTCTTCCCATTTAATACACAAAAAACGAGCACAGTGCAATTTCTGTTCTTACACATTCCTAGTGTGTTTTCTTTTTAAATCACATTTTAGCAAAGAAGCATTAAGTCAGTACGTGTGACTGTACATGCACTATGTGTTTCCCTTTTACATATCCAGTGTGAGTCTCTGTTTATGCTTATGTTGCACACATTGAGATTTTAAAAATTTGCCTTTAGTGTTGGCAAATGAAGATGCCGTTCAAGTGAAATGTTTTACTACAGCGAGGATGCATTCCAGAGGAGAAAGACTGCTGTGTTTACCAGTGATATCCATCCATTATAGACTACTCTGATGTAGCATAACTTATTGTCCAACAGTAGTCATGGACCTACATACCATATATCCTGTAATCTTTCTGTTTGTTGTTAATTTAATATCTCACTGTTGGTGGAATAATTATTGTGTACTCATCTTTCACAATCATGCTATTCTTCACATCTTACACACACACACTGAAATCTACTTTATCTGTAAATAACTGTTTTAAAGGGCTGTATAGAAAAAGAAAACCTAATAAAAGTGGTGGTGGTTTAGTTCAGGGACTGATGTGTTAATCATGAATCGAGTTTTTGGTCTGTTACTCAAATTTAAACGTTTTATTTATTGTTTTTGTGCAGTAATTAACCAAAAAAAAGGGTTATTATTCAGGTGTTTTCCCCCTATTTCAGCAAAGGGTTGACCTGGATATGTACCTGCTTCTGTTTAAAATGTTGCTCTTTCTCAATTCTACATGTGGTGAGTATGAATGATATCATAATTTACTGTGACATTTTACATTTTAATTTCGCACATGGTGAAATATCAGTCTTAAAAACACTAGAAATATCTCCTAAAACACTTTGGTTTGCACGCTTTCTGTCATTTTAACATGTCAAGCTTCAATAAAAGGATTTTATTTTCAGTCTGAATTAAGTCACTCTAGATTTAAATTAGACATATAAACTTTTGGTGTACACAAAGTGGCCTATAGTAGTGCTGCAAGTAACAGCTGCACTACACTTTGTGTCCAGGAACCAGATTTCAAGGTTGTTCAAATCAATGTTGACACCTGATTTTAATGTGTGAGAGTCTGCCCCCTAGTGGTGTAGTGACACCACAACTGGCCTGTCAGCTGTAGCTCTGCTAAAAAAAACTGAAGGGATAAACTGTACACGTTAAAAGGCTAAAAATGTGCAAAGTTGTAGTTTCTCCTTTATACTCCCTATTTGCTTTTCACCAAGTGGCTGGGTCGTCATATTTCCGTAAACACTTGAACGCAACAATTTTTTTTTTTATTAAAATAAACGCATATTAGTCTTTATAACAAAAATTCTGATGCATGTTTGTAATTTTAAGTTGTTCATTTAAAATCGATTCATTTTCTGTTTTTTTTGCACAAGCGCGTTCACGTGCGTCAGATGCGCGTTCACAACCCCATCAAAGTGTCTCAACTTGTGAAGGTGAAGACCTTCAAAGAATACTGTCGGTGGAGTAACCTCATTTATAACGGATTTTATTGCGTTGACAGCCAAAGGTAATTAAGTTTCCTTTTATTTGAAGTTAGAAAAAAGAGCACACTCATGTGTTTGTGTTCTGTTGAAGTGACATTAAGGAAGTAAATGTTGTCTGACGAAGTCTAAGCTGTAGGCTGTTGTACAAACCGTTAACAAAATATGTTGTAGAAACACTTTTAGCAACACTGACAGTCAATAATAAATCATAATTTTTTTATGTAGAATATATTATTATTATTTACATGTACAACATTTCCACTGTAATGTGTCTACTGCCTGCTGACGGCACATTTGTTGTTGAATTTAAACATAAAATCCATGACATTAACAAAAAATACAGATTCATTTCATGCCTCTCTCTAATTTCATGTCTAGTAAGTATTTTTCTTAAATATTATGTTTTTACTGCACTGTTTCTAAAGTGTTTCAGTGTCTTCTGACTTTTTCATTATAAGGAAATGAAGCTTCATGTTGAAAATAACTTAACTTCCTTTTCTAGGACTTCAGTAAATGGTGGACAGAGAGTGTGGTTTCATATCAGTACTATATTAAGCATTCATAACAAAGTTAACTCATTTAGGAAATTGATTTAAACCTGTTTTGTATGCTTGCAGTAGTGAATGTAAAAATGCATCATTCATCAGAGTAATGATGTCCTCTGTGTGTGTGTCATGGTGTTTTTCTTCCCCAGATGTGGAAGTCAGTTGTGGGCCACGATGTGAGCATGAAGGTGGCTGCAGAGGGGGATGACTGGGAGACAGACCCTGACTTTGAGGTAAGTCTGCACTTCCTGTGGAGAAGTGTTGGTGCATAAACTCCTCCAGTCAACTTTCCTCGTGTCACATTTCTGTTTTGTTTTTTTCAGAATGACGTCTCAGAGCAGGAGCAGCGGTGGGGAGCAAAGACCATCGAGGGCTCGGGCCGTAAGGAGCACATCAGGTAAGAAAACGCACAACCTCCGCGTCGGGAACTAAACCGTACTTCAGATGACGTGGAGAAAAAAAAGCAGGTTAGAGTGGGTGCTGTGCAGCAACAGGAAGAGGAAGTGAGAGCAGAGCACAAGCTGTTAAGCTGCAAGTCTGTCCTAATATGGGTAATATAATATGATGACACTCTGACAGTGAGATTTACACTGCTGAGCTTTCTCACTGCCAACTTAATCAGACCATTGATTAAGTTGATATCGGGTGCAGTAAACCTAAATGTCAGAATCGACTTAGCTTCAACTTTTGAGCAAATTCCCATTTACAAAATCTCCTCAGCTTGACACTTCAGAGACCTTTCTTGGATATTTTCATTCAATATGGGCCAATCATTAACTGGAGGAACCTGTACCAGAATTACTCATTGATAACCAAATAGAAACCTCACAAGCTGAGTCTGTATAAACCATAAAATGAAGCCATATTATCTGCTTTCATGGCCTTTTGAAGAGATGCCTCATAATAAACTAGTTTATCTGTTATTGCTGCTGTTATACAGAGTAGGCCTCTATAAGAGCCGGCAGAAATTTAGGAAACATGAGTGTACAAATGGGAAGTGAAGCATTAAGAAGGATGAGTTAAAAACAACAAAAAAGGGTCGTTACGGCTGTGTTGTGTTCTCTGTGCTGTTTGTCCCTTCTCCCCTTCTGTAGTCTCCAGCTCGGCCCAGGTGAAGCTTCTTGTAGCCTCACAAGGTGCACCTGGCCTCAGTACTTAAAAGCCCCGTGCTGAGTTCAGGGGTGTAGTTAGTTTTTGATTTGATCTTTGTGTAATAATTTAGTTATTTGTGTCCTTTTGTTTTGACTTTGATAAGGTGTATGATGTGTTTTATTGGGTCAGTTTGGGGGTTGCGGTTAGCCCCATAGGGCGGCCTTAACAAGTACCTCGCAGTAATCAAGGAGCATCAGCATAAAAACAAGCAAGAAAAGGCCAAACTGTAAAAAGCTTATTTAAAAAGGAAAGTCTTCAGTTCTGTTTTGAAACTCTCAACGGGCTGTGGTGCCCTCAGGTGGTAGGAAAGGGAACTCCACAGCTGTTGAGCATCAGAGCAGAATGCCTGATCTCCCCCCACAGTGGGCAGCTTTAGTCCAGGGAGATGGAGACGCTTGATGTTGGTGGAGTGAAGGTTTGTGGGATGATCGGGTCCTTGAGGCAGGGTGGGACATTTCTATAGATGCACTGATGGGTCAACAGGGAGATTTTGTATTCGATGAGGTGTTGAACAGGACTCCAGTGAAGGGTGTGATGTGTTCATGTTTTCACACCCTCAACAGGATCCATAATAATTAAAATGTGTGTTAATGAATTTGAAACGACCTGTGTTTTTATGGTTGTCATGACATGATGGTTTTATATTCTTATGATCTATATTTTATAGATTGTTTAATTTGTAACTGAGAGCATGAACACTCATAAACTCAAACTAATGTATCAATGATAAATAGACTCCTCATGGTCAGTATGTTTCTGTCAGTGTCGCAGAGCTCAGGAACAAAGTGGCCGTGGAGCACGAGAAGGGGAAGCTGAAGGATCAGACTCCCAAGGCGTCGTATGGATATGGAGGGAAGTTTGGAGTGGAGAAGGACAGAATGGACAAGGTCAGTTAGTTCGTTAACCTCCTTTCAGCTTCTTCCAGATGTAATCTCTTTAGTGCTCTACTCTGTATCCACGCGTTTACAGACTCTCTGCTGCAGGCTGAACTTGTTTATGAATGTGTGTGCACTGTTCAGGCGGCTCTGGGGCACGACTACGTGGCTCAGGTTGAGCAGCACTCCTCCCAGAAAGACGCAGCGAAAGGCTTCGGCGGGAAATTCGGTGTTCAGAAAGACCGCGTCGACAAGGTGAGACTCCCACTCTCCGTGAAGATTCAAAACATACTTAGACAATAAATCTGTCTGAAATATCTTTGTAAGGCAAGGCAAGTTTATTTATGTAGCACATTTCAACGACAAGGCAATTCAAAATGCTACACACAAGACAAAAGCATCATGAC